AATCTAATAAATAAATTACAAAATAAAATAATTTTCATTTCTTGATTAACTTGGATATATTCTTATACATTCTTTGTTTTTTTTAAATGATTAAACATTAAGTTGAAGATTTTTTACAATATTAAATTGCACAATTATGTTTTATTTTACGAACAAGTTCTTCTTTTCGATTTTTAATACATCTGATCATATGTTACCCTTTTGAAATTGAATTATTTATGCATTTAAGTGATTGGATCAAAGTTATTGCGCGATTATTTTAATATACTTCTATACATATTGAATTTTGTATTTTACCATGGCCACTCAATTTTTTGAAGTACGCAGTTTACTCTTCATGTTTGATTATGAAATTTTAATGAAAAAGTAAACTATGAATAACAATCTTGATATGTAGAAAATACATTTACATAGTAAATTGTCACATTCTAATTTAACGAAATTTGATATTCAGGAAATTGTGTAATTAGAGTTGTATGTTATCGTTGCAAGAAAAAACTTATGATTATGGGATGCAATTAAATTATCCAAGAGTCATTGAGATGCTTATATTTTACCTATTTATTATATCCCTAATTTGTGATTTTTGCAATATATTTTGAGTACAAATATGCTATTTATATGATTTTATCTTTATTTGTAGGTTTTGTACTCAAATGGAAGAATTGTTGAGGTTTTGGACTAAATTGAAAAGAAAAAGCAACTCAAAGGGAGAATTGAAGATTTGATAAATTGACAAGGAAGAAATTGAAGCACTTGAAGAGTTGGAGGAGTTTTAATTTTAATTGACATGAAAAAAAAAAACATTCTTATTCCCGAAGAAATAGGATTTGAGAAAAGTATATAAAAAGAGAATTAGAATTTTATTTTTGGATACAGATAAAAAAAAACCCACGCCTTTCTCCACCTTTCCACCAACCCCACGCCCCTTCACCCAAAACCCCTCTCCTCCTAGCCCATCTCCATCATCGCCGCTCCAGCACCCCATCTCCATCACCACGCACACCAGCCTGCATCATCACCTTAATCATCATCATCATCATCACCTCTCCACGCACCAAACCGAACCCGCACGCCTCCATCACCTTGCTATTACCACGCCTCCATCACCATCATCACCATTATCTGCATATCATCATCATCGGAGGAGGAAGCAAGCAACTTCGGACTCAACTTTTGGCCTACTTCTCTCAGATTTCATTGTTTTATTTATTTTTTAGATGATTTGTAACTAAATTATTTAATCTAGGGTTTTGGATGTATCCGCCATACTATTTAATTTAATTTAAGTTATGATTGTGACTTTTTCATTAATTAATATTTATTATTCTTGTTTTTCATCCATGTGAATACCTGATCAATATTTGCATGCTTTAAGGTGCTAGCTGAAGTAGCGAGAGTGGAAGGCTAGTGTTAGTTTGTAGGAATAATAAACTTAGGTAGTGAGCCACGAGAGTAGGAGCACCGCCTTTGTGACTAGTAATTCCAAAGTTCTTAATGTACTTTTATTAATCTCTACAGTCACGAGAGTAGTCATAGGGTTAGTTTAAGTAAGAGGGTTATGACACGAGAGTGTATAATTCTTAAATTGGTGAATTGTCATGAGATTAATGAGAGTCGAAAGTCACATATCTATAGATTAAATTAAACTGAATAGTCCGTTGGTGAACCCTTTGCCCTAGGTTTTTCTTTTACTTATTTATATCTTTAAATAATTGCAATTGTTAGTTTTAGGTTTAGAATATTTTAAAATTGACAAATTGTTAATCTAAATAATAATAAAAAATAGTTTTAACCGGTACTTGGTAACCTTCTTTGTGGGATCGACCCTGCTTGCTACTTTACTACTAGTAATTATATTAAGTAGGTAATTAATATTTGACTAGTGTGACAACGGCTTGTCAGTCATTATAAAAGAATTAGGGTATTTTTTTTTTATAATTAAACCAGGCAAGTACCTTGGAAGTATATAGATAACCAGAAGTATTTTTTTCAGGGCAGTGCATAAGACTTACCCTACACAAGAGACCGTCAAAAAGCCGGAGATTTAAATATCAGTAAATATACTAATACTTTCAAAAGAGACCTAATTAGACCTATACAAAGTTATGTCTAATGTCTGTTATTTTCTGGATTTTTCAGTATATTTTTCTAGTAACTCAATAAAGAAAAACTACTGGCTAAATTTCCGGTCATCATGATTCGCTTCTTACGGATCACAGATATGAACTATTGCGTTTAGTGGGCATATGGAGAATCCAAATCTGTGAGTGATATACAGGGAAGTTGAACACTATTAATTCCAAAAAGAGTCACTAAAATAAAATTAATCTGAATCTGAACCGAAACCAAACATATGAAATAACCGTATGAACCAATTTGGTTTGTTTGTAATCCAGACCGGTGAACCGATATGTATCGGCTCACTGGGTATTGAGGACCGGCAAACCAGTTTCTGAGAGTTGGCCGACGAAGCGGCTATGTAACAAAGAGCCAGAGGTCCAGCTTTGGAAATGGCCGGCAAAGCTGGTGATAGCTGTGACGGCTGCCGACTTGCAGCAGCAAACGGTGGACCTCTATAGCGTCAGGCTTCTCGTCGGCATTCTGAGATATTAGAGTCTCGATCTGCATTTGTCAAGACTGAATGGGGGGCGGTCGGATGCGTTAAGCCTAGGCGCGGCAATTACTTCTACGGGAGAACGTGGCGATGGGGAGAGGAGCGTTCTGGCGACATCAGCAGAATTAGATCTGAGTAACAACTCAGACTGCGGCAGTCAACACTGCCAGGCGGTTAATCCACGTCCAACGATCCCAGTGCTGCGCCTAAGCTGCATCAACAGTGGCTGTTCCTCGATGCTTCATCTGGAGTCGGTCGTCGGATCAATTGGTGGCCGCTACTTTTGTTTTATTTGAGCAAAGAAGAAAAAACATAAAATAAAAGGGAAATTTGACTCCCCCAACAAATACCGTTAATGGTGGTTGGGGGAGGAGAAAGGTGGTATTCTGGGGTGAGGACTGGGAGAGGGAGAGGAGAAAAAGAAAGAATAGGTCTTTTTAATTACCTAAAAGAATTAGGGTAATCCAGTCACTATATGAATATTTTTATTTTAACTAGAATTATTTACCAGAAAAGCCCTCAAAAGTTTCTGTCTGTATTCACTCGGTACTAAAAAGTTCAAACGTCCTTATGTCCGCAGAAAGCGAATTATTTGTATTTATTCAATTTTTCATCTAAAATGGAACGGTGAACCGTGAAATCACATGCTTGTCACGTGGGTTGACCGAGGGTATGAGGCGTCCAAAAAAAAGAGTCTTCAGCCTTACTCATGTGACTTGCACGTTTTTCCCGCCAAGCCAGAAATTCAAAATTCAAAAATTAATTTTTTGAATTTTGAATTTTGAATTCCGCCGCCAGAATCCAGTCGTGACCACCGGTTCAACCAACGACGTCCACCGTTTCAACCACCGGTCACCACCAGTACAACCACCGGCCGTTAGCGGTTACGGCCACTTTGTCGATGGTTTACGACTGTCGACCACCGGTCACGGCTCAATTCCGGTAGTTGACCACCGGTTCAACAAACATTGACCACCGGCCAATACATGGCACTGGTGATATTCCCGGTGGTAATCGAGAACTTGCTGGCAATGACACCGGCCGGCAATATGCCGGCAGCCGTGACGGTGGGGCAAAAAGTGGAGTTTGATAGCCCAATAAATCATCAAATGGGCAAATTATTTTTATTTTGAGCCCAATCCCAATACTGGGCAACATAAAGCACTTGAACAACTTTTTGGGCTGACTCAATTTTTTTAATTGGAAAAGATAAAGCCCAAACTTCCAGATGAAACCCTACATTAGTTAAAAACAAAAAGAAAGTCATTTTGTCCATTTTTTCATTGGAATTATTGGGTTCGGGGAGAGAGAAAACGATAGGTGGTGTTAGGTTGGGGATCAGGGTTTTTCAAAACACATCAGATCTGGTGAATTTCTGCAAAAATATACAACAACATGTTCCTATCATGGTTAGGGATTGGAGGGTTTTGACTTTTTTTGTGTTTCCTCTTCGGTTTCACCGCAAAGGGGGTTAGGGTTTTCAAAATCGAAAAGTCAGTCAGGTTTATTACTTGAGTTTGGGAATTAGGGTTTCCTGAAATCGAAAGGGCTTTGCTAAATTTCTGGAAAAAGAGAAGTCTTGTGTTCTAAGGATTGCAGCAAAGGGTTGTTCGTTGCAATCGGAAGGTCGTCGGGTTTGTCATCAGAGCTCACAACGCCGGCAGTCAGCTTTAACACTGAAGGTCCAAGAGCATGCTCTTTTGGCTCTGGTCACCGTCGATGTGGAGGGGAGAGGATTACATTCGTCCTGATGACAAAGTCTCTGAAATTTCGGAATACGGTAAGTAATTTGTTTTGGTTTTTGTGTTATAATTTAGTATTGACTATGGGTTTGGGATTTAGAATTGTTTAACTGAAATGGTGGGTTAGGGATTGGTTTTAGTTGTGCAGGGAGCATGTTGTACTGTTGGGAAGGGACAACTGATTTTTGAAATTGAATAAGAAATTGTATGCTTCAGTTAATAAAATATAACAGTGCCATGTTTTTTTTTCAGATGCATTTTTTAAGTGAAATTAGGGCTTTCTGAAACTGTGTATCATGGGAATAATTTTATTGTTGACATGCATATGTTATTCAATCAACCTCTCTTAAACCCTTGTGTATTAATGTGTTTCCATGTTGTTTCAGGTGAAGGCTCTAGCCTTGTCAATTCATCACAGTGGGGGTTTCGTGACAAACAAGACTGGAGAACTTGTTTTCTTTCAAGTGGAGGTGGACTACTTTGATTAAGTTAAGTCTGAGGACCTTAAGCTTGAAGAGGTTAACTCGTTTATAGATCGTATTGGATTCTGTAGGCCTCACAAGTTATTCTACATAGACCCTAATGTTGCAGAATTTGATGGCTTTAGAAGGTTAAATTCAGATCAAGATTTGAAATCATTAATGGAAATCACGTCTGCAGAGAAGGGTAAGGCTGTTGTTATCTACAGGATAGGTGTCAATGAATATGATCCATTACCAGGACCTAAACCCAAACGTCCAGCATATTTAGATGAAGGTAAAGAGAGTGATGCAGATGATGAAGATTATGAACCAGAGAGTGATTACAACTTGTTTGACTCTAATGATGAAAGCAGCTGCAAATATGCCAATGAGTCCATGCGTACTTCTTTCTGGGCAGGTTTGAGGAAGCCATCTGAGTTTGTGCCTTATGCACATGTACCTAAGACTGGAGATTCAGAATCTGACCAGGCTTCTTGTGATGAATTGCATGAAGTTAAAGGTTCTGATGATGAGGAGGACCAAGTAGAAGTTAAAAGGTATAGAGAGTTTAACCCTAAGAAGGAGATGCATAACCCAACCTTTGAAGTCACGCAAAGATTTGGTGACAAATGGATTTTGTTAAAAGCCATCAGAATACATGCTCTTGTTGAAAGGAGGGGTACTAACTTCAAAAACAATGATACCAAAGTTGTCCACGCACGGCGTGTTGAGGGTTGCAACTGGGAAGTGTATGGGGCTAGAGTCTCAAAAGAGGATCCAACATTTGAGATCATAACTCTTAATGATAAACGTACTTGTGACAAGATTTGGGAGAAGAATAGGAACTACAACTCCAACATCGTTTCAGACTGGTATCTTGTTGATTTTGCACATGATCCAAGAATGAGTGTGGGAATTCTGCAATTTAGAGTTCTTAATGAGAAGAAGATTACTATTTCCAGAACACAAGCTTACAAGGCCAAGATAAAGGCTCTGGAAAAGGTTAGAGGTAACATTGTGGGACAGTTTGCGAAGTTGAAAGGTTACATGGAAGAAACCAAAAAGCTGAACCCAAGCACCACATTTGAGCTGATGAAGGATCCTAACCCTGAACGTCCTAATACCTTTAAGAGGTTATATCTTTGCTATGAATCATGCAAACGGGGATTCAAAGAGGGTTGCAGGAAAATAATTGGTATAGATGGGACGTTTTTGAAAAAAACTGTTGTCGGGGGAATACTACTGACTGCTGTTGGGTTTGATGGGACGTTTCTAGTAGCCTATGCTGTTGTTGAATAGAGAGCACGTATTTGTGGGAGTGGTTCCTTAATTTTTTGATTAAGGATTTAGAGATTGAAGACTCACCTGATTGGGTGATAATTTCAGACCGCCAGACGATCAGTGTTGATGATTTTTGTGTTATTTTGTATACTATGTTTTGTTCATTATATAATCATATATGACAGTGATACTTGGTGTTTTTTTTTCTTGTTCCCTAACTCTTGTTATATTCTGATAATCGGTATTTCTTTGGTAGCGCTTGTTATCAGCTGTTAAGTCCAAACTTCCAGCAGTTTCACAAAGGCATTGTGTGCATCATTTGTGGTCAAACTTCAAAAAGGAGCACCCTGGACTTCTTCTGAAACAAAAACTTTTTGAAATAGCGAAATCAAGTTATGTAAAAGAGCATGAGGAGCTAATGGCAGCTCTAAAAGATCATGATGAAGCTGCTTGGAGGTGGTTAAATGATTTGAATTTTGCTAATTAGTGTAGGTCACACTTTGGAACAGCAGCTAGGGGTGATATGTTAACCAACAATGTTACTGAGGGTTTTAATAGAGCTATCCTGCCTTGTAGGGAACTTCCTATTCTTGGAATGCTAGAATGGCTTAGAGTGTACTTAATTAAGAGAGGGCAGAAGAAGAGGGAGTGGCTGGCAAGGAATGAGTTTGTTGTTGGGCCTAAGATTAAAAGAAGGTTAGAGAAATATGCTCAGAGAGCTGTAGGCTTCATGCAGGAGGTCCATTGTTTGAGGTCCGTACGATTGATTCTGATGATCAATTCGTGGTTAATCTGAAGAGAAGGTATGTGCTTGTAGAAAGTGAGATCTAACTGGAATACCTTGTTCTCATGCAATTAGTGCAATTGTTCAGAATGGAGAAAAGGTTGACAAATATATTGACAAGTTTTACTCCAAGTCGGCGTATGAGAGGGCTTATGCACACATTATAGTACCTGTACATGGCAGAAAGTTTTGGAAAAAGCGTGATGGTCCACAACTGCAACCACCAGAATTCAAGCATAAGATTGGTAGACCCAAAGGTAGCAGGAACAAGGATAAAGATGAACCTATGAGAAGGAACAAGAGGGGATCCATTAAAGCAAGTCGAAAGAAGGGTAAACGAGTTAACAAATGCAGCAAGTGTAACGTGACTGGCCATATAAGGAAACACTGCCTGGATCTACTTAACCAATCAAATCAGATAGCTCAATAGGTTTCTGTCTTTTTTGTTTCAGGTTTTTGTTACAATTTTAATTGCCAAATTTAATACATTTCTGTTTTCCTTTGTTTCATTATGCACTAGGGCCAAGGGACTATTGTTGATACCAATCCACCCATATAGAAGAGGAAAGGGATACCTCCAAGGAAAAATCCACACAATCTGGTAGATGAAGACATAAGCCAAGTAAGAATCAACTTCAAAGGTCTCTTTGGTCATATTATTGTAAGTTAGGGTTTAGAATGATTACGTGATTGACTGACCAAAGCTTACGTGAATTTGTTGTTTTTGTTGTTTCACAGCCTATTGGGGAAGGAGATACCAACAATCCTCAGCCGGCACAACAAAAAAGGAGGGGTAGGCCACCAACAACACACTCAAAATGTAAGCAATGCAAGCAAATGGGACATACCAAGTCCATATGTCCAGAACTGGCAAGAAAGAGATCAAAAGAAGCCGTTGGTGTTGATATTTTTGAGCAAAATACAAGTGTTGTGCAATGTGACCATTGCCGCTTGCTTAACCACACAATCGCAGATTGTCCAGTTCGTGATGCTGAAAACTAGCTTCATGATGATGATGTCTTGGAAGAGGTAAACTTAATGACCATTTTAAATTGTAACATAATTTGGACTTTATTCTTTATTGACAATGGTTGATCACATGTAAATATGGTACACATTTGCAGGTTTTCAATACTCCTGGTGTACTAGATAATTATATATCTAGTGGATATTCATCACCTGACGATGGATACATGCATGAGGGATGTCATCCTTGCATACTCATGATGATGACAACTGTCCCACTCTTGATTTCAAATGTGACCGCTGCAATTACTTTGGACATTTCAGAAACAATTGCCCTTTATCAGAGGCGCATTTTTTTTATCATTCTTACTGCATTAAGTACTTCAGTTAGGGATCCAAGGAGATATTTACAAATGACTATATCATTTTATGTATTTTTGTAGAAGGAACTGACTTCAACACTTCGTCCATCTAGTTCTGCTAACCCAGCTGCACCATTCATTGTTCAAAATCATGATATGGCAGAACAAAACAATACAGATGTGGCTTCAACACTTCATCCATCTAGTTATGCTGACCCAGCTACACCATTCATTGTTCAAAATCATGATGTGGCAGAACCAAACAAAACAGATGACAGTTTGTCAAGCAATCAGCAGCAGCACCAAAATGTAATGTTATCTTTAGTTCTTTGGTGTAATGTTCTCTTTAGTTCTCTTCTATTGATTTAGTTCTCTTTTAACTTCCATGGGCTGAATGATGTGCTTTTGTGTAGATGGACCAGTTGGAACAGGATTCCAATCAAACTCCAAGTGCTGATGAAAGGTCCCCTGAGCCAGAAGCAACAATAACAAATGTCACATTGTCAGGCAATCTTGGTGATCATGAAGCAGATGTTGTAATTTTCCCTACTACCGTAACCTCACCGGCTGCCAACAAAGCCATCAAAAACTGCAAAAAATCAGCCCCTTCAACACCAAAGAGAACAAGTGCAAGGCTAGCTGCTGTTAAGGTAAGGTTTGATGCTGATGGTCATGGCAGTAGTCTTGAAAAGGCAATTCAGATATTAGGTGAGGAAGCTGTGGAAACATCCGTCGGGAGGAAAAGGGCCAAAACCTTCCATGGTGCAAATCCTCGCAAAAGTACTTTATTCACTCATTGCATCTAAAGGCTCCAGTTCTATCTTTATGTTCCCTTTCCTAGTATTGATGTAACTCAAACTTTTCTAGAGTTTTTTGCTGTTTGGATTCCGTAGTAGTAAGTTTAGGGTGAATCTTAATTCAGTGAACTATTAGTAGTAATTGTCACTGGAATCTATTCTTATATATATATATATATATATATATATATATATATATATATGTTAATGCAGATGGTTTACAATAACCATCAAATTTTCCCATATATTGTTCTTGGGTCTTACTGGTAATGTAGTTTAATTTTAAGCCTTGTTTGGTTCCTTTTTTACTCCTAATTTTTTAAGCTTTTTTCAACGAATCCGATCCCGCTCTTCACAGAAAAAAAAACATAAAAAATAAAATCAAGTTACAAATCTGATCCCATCGACAAAATGATCAAATTACCCCTAATAGGCAGGAGTCCAGGACTTGGACTCCAGTATAATTACCTTTAGTAAAGGAGATTGGACTGGATATTTATGTCTTTTTGTTCGGTCGACGGACTTTTTGTAAGTTATGTAGAATAACCAAATACAAAATTAAATTAATTATGTTTATTATGTTTAATATCTAAGAAAATTAAATCTATGCTTAATTTTAATAAATAAATTAGGCTTATTAAATTAATTAAGTGTGGTAGCGGAGTTTGACCAAGTGAATGGCCGGAATTGGGTAAATATATAACGGAAGTATTAAATTGCCGAAGTACAATACATTAACATGAAATTTACAATCTCTAATAAATTATGCTGAAATGTAAAATATGCACTAAAAATCAAAATTTATTCTAAAGGAACTTAAAATAACAATACACATTGACATTAAACATTGCAATATTTAATTTAAATTAGTAATATTTTTGTTTTATATATGTCACTCGTCATCATGTATTAAAAACGTAGTACTCCCTCCGTCCCAAAAACATTGTCCACAATGAGTTTTGGGTTTTGTACTGTTTTTACTACAAATTTACAAACTTAATGTGCACTATTTTTTTTGGAACGGAGATAGCATCTTTTACGGAAATCAAATAAAGAAATATTACTATAGAGATGTTGTATAAAGCACTAATTATCTTAGGACAGAGTGAGTACAAATTTAACATTGTAAAAGTATCATAATTTTTGGGGATGGGATATTATAAAGATGTAAATCGGAATTATCAACAAATCTTATCCCCGTCTTCACAAAAAAAAAATCAAGCTACAAATCCGATCCCATCCACAAAATGACCAAATTACCCCTAATAGGCAGGAGTCCAGAACTTGGACTCCAGTATAATTACATTTAGTAAAGGAGAATGGACTAGATATTTATGTCTTTTTGGTCGTTCGACTGATTTTTGTGAAGTTATGTGGAGTAACCAAATACAAAATTAAATTAATTAAGTAGGGATGTTAATTTTAATATCTAAAAAATCTAAATGTATGCTCAATTAAAGTGCATTATAATTAGGCCCAATTACAAACACGACAAAAATTACGATTATTCATCTAGGCCCGATTACAAACACCATACATTTAAACCTAATAGTGGAATATTAACCACAACATAATTTACCTTAAACACTAAACCAAACCAAAACAAACCTTGAACATTGACTACAACTACAAATACAATTACTGCTAATTAAAATAGCCTTGGACACAATTTCCTTCTAATTCACCTTTCCCTGCAAACATTTCCATTCGACCGAAACAACACAAATGCCCAAGTTGCAACAAGAACAGAGAGTAGTATCTTTATTTTTTTCCTCGAAACCAACAGTTTGTGATCCATCTCCATGAACATTTGATCTTTCTCGGCCAACAACATTTCTTTCTCGGCAAACAAATCATTCTTCTCAGCAATTTCTTCCCTTCTTTTGATCAAGGATTGAAAAAAGCCTGGCAGCAGCTAGATACATCATGCGCACCGTTCTGAATCAAACCAATCAAAGAATCCACGTGATTCCCCAAAATGATATTGTGGGCATCCGAAGAATTTTCGCCCTCGATTATTAGAAGTTTTTGCCGCCGTTAGCTCCGCTGGTAAGCCACAGTAGCAAACAGAGTGCTCTGGGAATGGCGACGGTGTTGGAGATCGACGCATTTCTTCATAAATTAGATCAAACACTTCAAATTTCAAACCTTTCAAGAAACCCTAATCCCCTTTCCTCTCAGTCCGAAAAGGAAACCCCAAAATCCCAAAATCAATCAAAACCCTCCAATCCCTAACCCATATTTCACCCAAAAGACTTATTTTTTGCCAGAAATCTGCAAGGATTTGAGTTCGACAACAAAGAACCCTAATCCCCCAAACTGGATTCTCTCTCCCCCATGCGGCAGCACCGTTTTCTTTACAAAAATAATTTGGGACGTAGGGTTATAAGGGAATAAGGTTTCTTAATGGGATTGGGCTTTTATAAAATACTATTTGGCCCAGAAACAATTAATTGGATTGGCCCATAATAATCTAATACCATAGTATTGGGCTTAGTTGTCTATATTATGGTTAGTAGGCGGAACCGGTGACCAACGGTTGAACCGGTGGTTGATTTTGGGGCACCGGTGCTAAACTACCTGAGTGACGGCCGGTGGTTGTACCGGTGGCGGCCGTGGGTTGAACCGGATGAATCGGTGGACATCGTTGGTTGAACCGGTGGTCACAACCGGATTTTGGCGGCGAAATTCAAAATTCAAAATTCAAGAAATAAATTTTTGAATTTTGAATTTCCCGCTTGGCAGGAAACACGTGCAAGTCATGTGAGTAAGGTGAAGACCCTTTTTTTTTTGGACGCCCCATACCCTCGGTTAACCCACGTGACTAGCATGTGATTTCACGGTTGACTGTTCCATTTTAGATGGAAAGCTGAATAAATACAAAATAATTCGCTTTCTGGAGACTTAAGGATGTTTGAACTTTTTAGTACTGAGTGAATATAGACAGAAATTTTTTAGGACTTTTCTGGTAAATGATTCTTTTAAATATTTTATAACATTATTTACTATCCCTAATCCAAATTATGGAAGAGTTACGCCTCTTTTATTAATTTTGATCTCTCCACCACCCTTGATCCAAATTTTTTCATATAAATAATGGGTCAAACAATCCTTTCTTACTGAATGAAGTTGGTTTTCGGCTTTCCGCCGTAGTTTGTTGATATGGTTACTCGTTAATAAATTGCCTCCATGCTCTTCTTAGTCACCGGATGCTATTTTATTTTTTGATCAATTCTGCAGTAAATTATTTGTTCAAAAAGATTTGGATTTGGATCTCGAACTTCGAAGTTACGATCAAGAAGGGAATCAAATATAATTTTTTAAGACGGTGGGGGAGTTTCTCTTTATGTTATCATGCGTCAGAATTATAAGAGCAAATGGAAAATAATGACACGTACAATTTTGGAGAAGCTTTTAGGGAAAACATGACATTTTGAATTTATATTATTTCTTGAAACCATCTATTTAGTCATTTAAATTAGACAATAAAACCTTTTTTTTTTGTTTATAACATTATTGATTGACTAGTTTGATCCATTCCATTTTCATTTGGCAACAATTTCAATACCACAAAAACATGAATAGCTTTTTCTTTTTTTTTTCTTTTCCTAAATACAATAATATTTTTAATACCCCACTGGATTGTGACCAACGAATTGTGATGAGAATCACGGAGCTTCCCATCGAAGTTCAAACCAAATGGAGGAGTAAAAGGTGTTCTTGTCAATTGGTGGTCTAAGGTTGTTTCCTTTCAAATCTAGAAAAAAATTTGATGTGAGAAGTTGGCTTTCAAAGAAAGAGTTTTCACCTTAACCTTCTAGGGGGAGCAATGAGGAAGAATAAGAATTGCTTAATCAAGATCAAGTCTCAAAAGAGTCAGGTGATGACTTAGCTGAAAATGAAGATGATTCAAGTGATGAAAGATCAAGTGATTTTGTTAAGATCGATGCTAGTGACTTTATTCCAAGGAATAAGCTCATGAAAACATTAAAGTTACACATTCAAATGTGTAGAAGACATCATTGGAGCTTGAAGATTTGAATGGAATCGTGCACGCCAAAAGAAGCAGAAGAGCCTCGCGGGAAGTTTTTAAATATTAATATTTATTTTAATTATTGTTGAGCCCGTAAATTAATAAAATTCTATTTACCTAGTGTTAAATAAATTGATTTACCATGAGGTTAATTGAGCTTACATGGCCGGCCCTAGGAAGGTATTTCATTAAGGTTAATTTACTCTTTTGTCATTAAAAGAAGTAAAGTTAATTACTCCCTGCATTCCAAAATAAGTGTCATCGTACACTTTGCATATAGTTTAAGAAACTCTTAAATAAGGTAATAAAATTACTTGAATCTCCCAACCAACCCCATTAAAAAATTTTCACCAATAGTATTAATTTTTTTAGGATAATTTTGGAAACTTTGGACAAAAAGTGCATTGAAATGTGAGAACAACACATTGAAATTTCTCTATTATAAATAGGTGGCTAAGTTAAGTTAGAGTTTGTGTCAAAATTGACTACGTGTTTCCTCTTTGTGAATTGGATGGAGTAGTAGAAAGAGTAAATGACCTTTTCTTTAGCCTTAAGTTTAGGTTTTAAGTCTTGAAAAGTAAGAATGCTTATTTATAAATAGGTGGCCAAATTCTCTTCATAAAAACAGTGGTAGAATGAGTCAAAACTTTTGAGTTTGTAACCCTTTCTGGTTTTTAATGAAAGAATAAACTACTCAATTGGTCCTTTACATTTGGCAAAACACTTATTTTGGTCCTTTAAATTATAAATTCACAGGTTTTGTCCTTTACATATGTATTTTACACTAATTTAGTCTTTTTTCCCTTTTTTGACCCTTTACATTTGGGGGTTCTCGGGTTGACCATTTCTTGGTCAAGTCAATAGGTATTTTTAGTAATTTTTAATTTTTAAAATTTTGAAAATATCAAAAAACTAAAAAAAAGATTAAAATAATATTAAACATATTTTTTTTAATTTTATAATTAATTATTTGAAA